TTGAAAAGAATTTATTGTGTTTTTGGCATAATTCATGTTGATAATAGTTTTGGTGTTAATTTGTTGTATATTCATGTCATTTTTAATGAAGGCACGAGTGAAGTTTACATTACCCCATTGGGGAGCAAAAGTTGGATAGACCAAAGAGAATAAAAATAGATAGAGTAATAATTAATTAATTTTCAGTTTCAGGTATTATGGTTTTTTAAGGTTGGCCCTTCTAGTTTCTGCTTACATTTCCATACATTTTTTTCTTTCTTCGATATCTTTTTTTCTTTCTTCGATATCTTTTACCATATGTCTGTCTTCTGTTTTCTTAGCGTACAGATCTGTAGGATAGTAATGTTCCTCTTTAGTCCGGCCATGTTCTTTAATTCGCAAAAAAGTTGCAAATAATGTCAATTAATGTGGATTTGGTCTAGTCATAGAGGTGGAGGCGTTATGGATCTTTAATTTTTGGTTTAAGTCTTGTCTGTTGCGGACTTATGTTTAATTAAGTTAATTTCTTCTAGTTTGGTTGTTGAATTGGAAATTACTTTTACAACAGTGCGGATCATTTTGGCAGAATTAATATCTCTCGAATTCATTTCAACCTTTTGGTTAGATTCAAATAGGATTGGAGGCGGTGAGCCCATGATATTTATTTGTTTTCTCATGCAAAAAAAATTTCAATTCTTTGGGGAGGGTTATAGCCTCAGACCTAAAGATTGAATAGTCTTTGAAAAAGAAGATGTAGCAGATGGGAAGGATTTACTTAATTGGGACCCAAAATTTAATGCCTTTAAACTTAGAATTGATGACAGATATATTTCATGGCTGAAATCTAAAGCAACATTTCCTAAATCGAGGAAATGTTGCTATGGACAAACTTGTATGGTACTACCAATCTACCATGCCACCGAAAGTCTGAAACAGTCTGAGGCTCAAAACTCAATGTTTCTGGATTTTACTAGTTCTGCTGTATAGGGTCCATGCCCATAATATTTTTTCAATATCTAATGTGTACTCCATTAATAAATTTAGGACATGGTGAGGCTTTTTCTTTTTTTAGTCTTTTTTTTGTTCCTTCTCTTTTTTCTTTTTTTTTTTGGTTTTCCGCTCGGTATCCGGGGTTTCGCCCCGACTAATCCGGACTCGACCCGCATTACACACATGAAAATGGTAGGTGAGTCTCTCAACGGGAGCTGCTGCGTACACAAGGTCTCAAACTCAAGACCTTGTTTAAGTTGAAACAAAACCGTTTACCATTTGATCCAACCGCTCGTTGGTCTTTTTTTTGTTCCTTCTGTTTAGCATATGATGAAAGTTTAAGGTGATGTCTGTTTTAGAAGATGTTTTAAGCACTGAAAATGCTAAAAAGTGGGAATCAACATGATGAAAATAGACCGCTGATGGGGCAGAAGGTGCAATTCAGCTCCTCTACTTCCATTGTTGTGGCATATCAGCCCCTCTACTTAAAAGTAGTGCAAGTCAGCCCCTTTACTTGACAAAACCCACAAATCAGCCCTTCTGCCCAGGATGACATCATCAAATGTTATCTTTCCGTCTACATCCTTGTTCACCCGTTACCAAGGAATGGCTTGGTGCTAATATGGTATTGGGTGGGTGGTGTGGCCAATTTAAACTATAAATTTACTAAAGAGTCATTGTCTTCTTCCTTTTCTTCCATCCATCATCCCTATCTTCCTTTACATTCTCTCTCTTCCTACTACAAATCTACTTTTTTCCAAAAGTTCAAGCTAAATTTTTCTTCACATAAGTCTAATCTAAAAAATAAAATAAAATAAACCCCTCAAAATATGAAAATATAAAAATTAAGAAAAAGTTTGAAATTAAAATCAAAACATGTGGTTTTGCTGACACCAAGTGATCTATTCGTTAAGTCTTCATTTCCAATAACCCAAAATTTACCTGATTTTATTTTAAATAAAAATACATGTAATATTTATTTCTTTCAAAAAATATCTCAAAATAGATTTATATATTTTTTTTAATAAAAACACAACCTTAAAAAAAAAAGAGAAAAAACAAAAAACTATGGATATTCATATGTGCTCCTTTATTACTAAAGTAACATCCTAGTACAAATCAAAAACATTCTGCAGTAAAAAGGCACATATGAATCCATAATTTTTAATTTTTTTCCATTTTTTAGTTTGTGTTTTTTTTAAAAAATATATAAATCTATTTTTGAGATATTTTTCTAAAAGAAATAAATATTACATGTGCTTTTATATAAAATAAAATCAAGTAGATTTTGAGTTACTGGAGATTGAGACTTAATGAGTAAATCATTTGATGCCAGCAAAGTGACATGTTTTGATTTTAATTTTGAAATTTTTCTTAATTTTTATATTTTCATATTTTGAGAGTTTTTTTGATAATTTTTTTGAGTTTAGATTTATCTAAAGAAAATTTCAACTTCAACTTTTGGGAAAAAAAAAAAAAAGAAGAAGATAAAACTTTTGGGAAAAAAAAGAAGAAGAAGGTAAATATGCAATATGAAGAGAGAGAATGTAAAGGAGGAGAGAGAAGATGGATGGAAAAAAAGGAAGTGGATGAGGATTCTTTAGTAATTTTATAGTTTAAATTGACCACATCACCCACCCAATGCCATATCATCACCAAGCCATTGAGCCATTCCTTGGCAATGGAGTAACAAGGATGTAGACGGAAAGATGACATTTGATGAGGTCATCGTCAACAGAAAGGTTGATTTGTGGGTTTTGTCAAGTAGAGGGGCTGATTTGCACTACTTTTAAGTAGAGGGGCTGATATGCCACAACAGTGGAAGTAGAGGGGCTGACTTGCACCTTCTGCCCGAATAAACATGATGAAAATAGAACGTTGATGGCCCTGCTGTGCACTTTCTACTCATTATTCAACTGAAGTGGCATCTTCTTCTTTCTCCCTTCAACAGAAAACTAAAGAAGCAATGCAGCAATCCGGTGCTGCATGTGCTTTTGGGATCGGTTAAATAAGCGCAGAAAGGAACCAATGCAGCAAGGGAAAGGCATGGTGTATTGAGATTAATTGTACCAATTTAAATTATTTTAATGATCTATAAATTCGGGTTCAAAAAAAGGGGGGGGGGGGAGGAGGGTAAAAAAGCACTAATATACTAATTTGGTATATCTTGGCGGGCTTGAAAGATCATCAACTTGTACAATAATATGAACTGCAGGGAAAACCTCGCCAAATCCCTTGCGTTCAACTTTGACATGTCTTCAGAGAAGTTAAACTTTTGTGCTAATTGCCTGGCTGCACTTGGGACAGAGCCTCACTGATGATCTCTCCACTTTTGATTATTGTCCTAATGATCTTTTGATGTATTATTATGCTGACCTTAATGGGACTATGTACCCAACAGGATAAACTTCTGTATCTAGTTTTATTTTAGTTAATGCATCATTATTTACTAAAAATAATAACTTGTATAATATGATATGTTATTTTATAATTAATTTTTTTAGTTTAAATTTACACATATATTGTTATATATTCATTTGACTAATATTATGTCATATTTTACATATTAAAATCATTGTACGTGTAACAATATTGCTGATGACGCCAGAATAAATACACGTACAAAATGTCACGTTGAACGTGTTTATACCACGACCAATAAAGGAAGGCAGTGAGCTGCCCTTGGGCGGTGGGGGTGGGTAAACGCGAAATGAAGCTTGGGACCCTTAGCATAATGCCCATGTTGTGTGTGTATATATATATATATTAATTTTTTTATATTTGATAATCATATTAAATTTTAATTAATTTCAAATTAAATCACGTCAAATTTTATTAGGAAAAAACTTTTTCAACGTTTATTTTTCTATTTACAAAACTCAAACTTAATATTTTATTTAAAAAAAACTAAACTCCTTCCACTCGAATCAACAATTTGTTGATTACTCACATTGTATATATCGGTGCACTTAGCTTAATCAGAAAAGGAGATCTAGAAGCTGTGTACTGGGAACCCAGGCATTGATTTCACCTCACAGACCATGTGAAGGTGTGGAGTCCTTTCATAATTCAACACAAAAAGATCACGAATAGATATTTCGACCGGATTTTGTTTTTTGGGTTTTAAGAAAGTTGGACAATAAAAATGCCTACCTATACTGTCCTTTGATGTATTAATAACTTTGCTGTAAGTCAAATGGGTAAGGTGCTCTCCATCCGCTCCAATTAATGGTCACGTATGATGATTGTACATTAACTTTTGTGCAGAATATTTGCCCTTAAAGCAAAGGTTGTTTTCTTTTTTTAAATAGGATTTCTATAAAAGAGTATAGGTTAAAAAATATTAAATATATTATTTTATAACAAATTTTGGGGTTAGTACTTGTCTATTTATTTTTAAAAAAT